GCCTACCGCTGGGCTCATAACCTGCACCGGAAACGATAATCTGGTAACAAAAGCACAAAAGTGATGGTCAGTGGCAGCCTTGGTGGTGCTGTTTAAAAGAAGGGTGAGCGCGTGGAGGGGGGGGGGGGGGGGCATGGAGCGGGCATGTGGGAAAGATCTTGGTCTCTCTTGATCTCTTGGTTTTGCCGCGGGAGAACGCGGCGAGACCAAGGGCGAGAGAACCCAGGCATGGGAGTGGAGTGCCGATATTTTTAACCTGTCGATATGTCGATATTCGGCACGCTTCCACACTCCCGGATCGGACATCACGGCCTGTTGCTCCTCCCCTCGTGTAAGGTTGGCCAATGTGCATTAAGTCTGCCGGCGGCCAACCGATCATGTGGCCGCCTCGGGGCTGGAAAAACGGCTGGGCGGGTAAGAGGTCAGTGTTGGAGGTCATAGGACAACATACAAACTGCCAATAAACTGTACTTGCGGAGGCCTCCGGCGGGTCAGAATACCGGCAGCGTAAGTTTGTATTTGCATCCCGCACATCGGGCTGGATCAGCTGCGGGACGCTCTGGGACGCTTTGGGACGCTTTGGGACGCTTTGACTGCGTGCCGTAAAAGTAAGCGGCTACAACGCGAGGCGATATCATCGCTGTTGGCACACCTTTTATACACACTCAGCGTGACAGCTTCAGCCGGTAGCCGTTATAATGGTTTGCCGCCGTGCTCACCGCCTACTTATTTGCGTGCCGTGTCACCACCAAGAGTCACATGATAAGGTGTTTAAGGCATCCATACGAGAAAGATAGACTGTAAATGCCAAGCAGAGGGCATGTCTGAATAAATCGCAGTGTGTACGGTAGCGACGTCATCATTCGCAAAGACAAAATGCGTGTTCAAGTATTTTGTCATGATTGCATAATACATAATCTGCATTATGATTAGGTACGCAGGCATGTGTAACCCAACAACCGTTGCTCCCACAACAACCTTGAATTTGCCACCTATACCAAGACAGCAGCACCACGGCATGTTCTGTTCGCCGAGGCCTTAACAAACTAGGGAATTTTTCTAACGCAGTAAGATGCCGCTAAATAGCCGTAGAAGTCTCCAGGTAAAAGGTCTCTATCGACTTGTATACCAATATACGCAGGTGATCCATGGCCTTGGTATATAGCGGGTGAAAAGCCGACTTCGACAAAACCCAGGCACGGGATCCCGGCCTGGGCAGCGTGTCAGTGGTCAGTATGGCGGTGAGAGGTGGGGACTATGCTGGATGTACTTGGTTTTCCGGCTGGGTAATCATTGGGAATTAAAGTGTGCATAAACAGTGATCCATGATCACATACCTCAACTGAACCTGAGTGCGTGTCTGGCTCCTTAGTTCTGAACTGAAAGGTACCAATCACTCAACCGGAAAGCGACAAACCGCACACAGGAAATCGACTTGCGACTTCCCGTGCAGGGGTGGATGCAGGATTTCGTCAAGGGGGTGGGGGTGGGCACGCAACATTGTGGGGCCCTCTAGAATTTTGGACGCCCCCGTAACAGCCCAGTGCCCCCTGGTAAATTCAAAAGAAAGTAGGCGCAGTTTGGAAAGTGCTTTAACGATTGGATTGACCCTGCAAGTTGGCATGTAGGTCCCCGGAAACGACATTGGGTATCTGGGCAGCGTAATGAACTTCTTCGCATTTCTGCTTCTACATCTAAGGATAAATGGTATGTTACGTCACACACACACACACACACACACACACACACACACCACACACACACACACACACACACACACACACACACACACACACACACACACACACACACACACACACACACACACACACACACACACACACACACACACACACACACACACACACACACACACACACACACACACACACCACACACACACACACACACACACACACACACACACACACACACACACACACACACACACACACACACACACACACACACACACACACACACACACACACACATGCATATATATATATATATATATATATATATATATATATATATATATATATATATATATATATATAAACGTTGGCATATAGATCATGAAAAATCCTGTCATTTTAGGCCAAGTATTTCGGAAAAACAGACAAGATCTGCTAAAGCTGGTTGCTAAATCCCATCAGAATAAATACCAACTTGGTTCCTAGCTTATTTACGGCTAGACAACAGGTCGATGTGATCAGCTGATGGCTGATGACTAATGCAGAGTTTCTCCTTTTGTTACAAAGGAGTGCAAAATATCCTAGCATTCAGGTGTATGAAAAATGTGACGAACGGGTAGAGTACGTGTCGAACATTAAATAACTAATGGAAATGCCACTTGGATGTTTGCGGCACTTAAAATAACCTGCGACAATTGCGCGAAGAAGTCACTGGCACCCAGCCGACTGCCGCTCTGAGGCTAAGGCACCATGGCCAATGAGGGCGGATCGTGTGGAATCATGGGTGCCGGCCGGAGGCCAACATAGAGGCTTCCCTCAACGAGTAGAGTGTGCGCAGAGCAGCGAGAAGAGCCCAGAACCAACGTGGTAGGCCCCTGAAGGATCGGTAGTGCCCCGGCAGACCGCCATGTTCGGTAGTGCCCCGGCAGACCACCATGTTCGGTAGTGCCCCGGCAGACCACCATGTTCGGTAGTGCCCCGGCAGACCGTCATGTTCGGTAGTGCCCCGGCAGACCGCCATGTTCGGTAGTGCCCCGGCAGACCGCCATGTTCGGTAGTGCCCCGGCAGACCGCCATGCACAGCAACCTCTGAGTAAAGAAAAATTACCGAACACTAGTGCAACGAACTGATGTCCCTGAGCGATCAGGAGTGCTCAGGCTGGTTAACAGCAAGGGACGCGGCAGGGAGAAGGGTCCTCCACAAATGGGATCAAAGTGAAAGAGCCTTAGTTCAAAGAAGAGGGCCCTTGAGCATCGCGTGGCTTGGTACCTTACCTTGTGTGAGCCTCACCAACAGCACAAGGCCCTCCGAACATGTGGAAAGAACCCGACACCAATGTGAAGGTCTCCTGAGGAACTAAGTGTATCCTGGCAAATGGGACCTCGGAAAAACTTATAAAGCCTTTCGGGCGAATGCGAAGAATCCGTGGATGAAAACCTAATCGATCAAGAGTGCCCATGCATGTAAGCAGATGGTTTTCCAACAGCAGCGTAAGATCCTGCGAGAAAATGCAAAGATATCGAGGGCAACGTGGGGGGCTCCTTAGCGATCCCTTTCACCCGACATGTGAGTGTATAGGGCCCCGGCAATAGTGTAAGTGTATTATACAATACAATATAATACAATAGTGTATTCTGGACAGCGTAACGAGCCCAACAAATTCCCAATCATCAGCTCAATCAGCGGATAATTAACTTTGTCTGCTTATGGGCTCTTTACTTTTGCTCCCAATTGTTCTTGGTCGTAAGCAGCCCAAAGACGTTCAGTTTTGTTCCGTTCTGTGTTAGAAAACTGTGTGCGTTCGGCCGGTCGTGGGCCCTTTCGGAGCCTATGGGTCCCTTTGTGGTACAAGGGCGGCATGGTCCCGTGCATTCCCCCCTCTGTACCCGCCACTAGTCTGAGGGGCTTAATAGAAGGGGCCCTGCTAAGAACATACAACTACCCATTCAAGTGAGAAGTACCAAATACACAACATGGAGGGCCTCCGAATGATCGAGAGTGGCCAAGCAGGTTAACGGATGGGGTCCCCAACAAAAAGGGTCCTCCATTCAAATAAGAAATACCCACGACGCATTGTAGAGGGCCCCTCAAACGGTCTAATGTGCCTCGCGGGGCTATTAGATATAGGCTCCGACAAGAGCGTAAGGCCCTCCATTTAAATATGAAATACCCAAGACCCTGTGTGGAGGGCCTCTGAAAGCTCGAGTGTACCCGATCACAATAAGCGGGGCCCCAAATAATCCAGTGTGCCCGAATAGGAGCATAATAGAATAGACTAGAAATGGGGCTCCGACAACTGGGTAGAGTACCCCATTCATAAAGTACCCAAGACCCAGCTAGGAGGGCCCTGAACGACCAAGTGCGCATAAGCAGGTTAACAGATGGCCCCCGACAAGAACGCAATGCTCTAAGCCAGTGACAGAGAATTGGAGTGGCCCTAGACCAAGATATAGGGCCCATGAGCATATCGCGAGTGTGTCAGAAGGTGAACCGTAGCGAACGTGATGGGCCCCTGAGCAACCGAGAATATCCCGGCAGGTTAACATATGGGGCCTCCGGCTGTGGTGTAGAGCCTTTCGGGCGAATCGGAAGAATCTGTGGAAGGCCCTGAATGACAAGAGCGCCACGGTACGGTGGCAAGAAGGGCCCCAGCAACAGCCCAGTGCCCTCCTAGCAAATGCAAAGAAATTAGGTGCAGTTTGGAAGGCTCTTTAACGACCGGATTGATCCTGCAAGTTGGCATATAGGTCCCCGGAAACGACATAGAGTCTCCGGACAGCGCAATGAACTTCATAATATGCCAGCCACGACCCACTCAATCAGTGAATAGTGATTTTTGCCTCCCACTTTCGCTTGCGGCTGTTCTTGTACGCCCGGAAGCCCAAAGATGTCCAGTTTTGTTGCGTGTTGTGTTCAGCCCGCTTTGGGCCCCTTCGGAGCCTATGGGACACCTTCGGCGTCCAAGGGGGGCCATGACCCCATGTCCCCCCTCCCCCCCCCTGGGACCGCCCCAGTACCCGAGGACCTTAGGAATCTGGAAGCGCCAGATTGCTGTTTTCAGGCTTTTGGAGGCACTGGCGACTATAATTAGGCTAGTAGTGATATTGTGGCTTTGTGACGTCATGATACAATCAGCTGGAAGCGTTAGCGACCTTCACGATCGTCGCGTAATCAAATCGCAGCCGCAACGCGACTTTGCGCCTTGATTGGGGACACAGCCCTGGAACTGAGGTTGGGGCGGGTTGGGGAAGGGTGGTAGAGCGCTGGTTGGGGTGAGGTGGGCGGGCGACGGATGGCATGATGAAAATGCCTCTTTATTGTCATTATGTGCCACAAAAAGCTTACTGAGAGCCCTTCATGAGTATGCGGCGGATCTATTGGTACCATTAGTGTGTTACTTGGGTACTAGAACTTGTTAATTCAGGCGGTTTTAGGAAATTCGAGACCGACGCCAGTGGTACCAGAAGTCATAAGTCATTTATCAGTAACTACAGAGCGATACCTTCATAACCTTATAAGCGACCTATAAGTAACCGTCAAGCGAAAAAGCTTAGCCTTGCAGTCACAGAATGCTTTGGACATGATATAATATGCTGCTAGTCTGATTCAGCTATCTGTTCCAGAAAATCAAGCAAACTACTGGGTTCCTGGTTTGCATGCAGAGCCTTGCTGGTTCTGGTCCTACTTCATCAGATCTTTTCCTATTTCACCAGCTTCATGACCTGGTTTTGAATAGCATCCAAAGCACAACATACCAGGTAAAGATACATTCTGTTACCACTTTTTGGTTGCTTTTCTTCTGCACTAGCCAGGATTTTTACATGCCTGTATATTTTATGGCATGATCTATGTTTCTACATGGCAGTATTCATTCCAAATGGCCTAAGCTCTTGAATGTGTTGCTTAACTGAAATGTCTGATGTCAGACTTGCTCAGGACTCTGTAAAGTTGGTTGGCCTTTGAAAGCCAACTTTTTTTTTTAGCATGGATTTTTCCTCTCATTGTGATGTTCTGCACAGCTGTATGTATCAATGGCATTATCCGTATGGTCTTTGATAGCATTTTAACAGTTACACTGCATGCATCCACTGCTGACCTATAGAACAACCTCACCTTTTCATAAGCTCTTGCCAGACAGGCATTTTCCATATTTATTGAAAAATGACAAGAGGCATCTTGTCAAAAGTAAAGCCTCTAGATCTCAGCTTGATGTTGCATCAGATAGTTTATATTAAACTGCACCACAGTAGTGCCACTAGTACATGTGTGTACTGTACACTATTGTGCATGCTAGTACATGTACATGTCACCAGTACATGTGACATGCTACTGAGGTACTTCTGGAATGGGCCAAATCTTGTGCAGTGAAGGTTGAAGTGGTCATTGTTGATTTTGTATGTCTGAGTCAGTATTAAGCCAACTATGTGGATAAGAGTGAGTTGTGTCAATGCCAACTAACTTCACATTGTTAGAAATAGCACATCTTCATCTCCTGAAAACTGTCACATTTATATCGAAAAGATCTTATTTTCACTGCATTTATGCAACGCGGGTCGTAGGGTTTGTGCGTCCTGCAAAATGGTTAGACCATTTCATAGGAAGCACATTAGACCATTCATATGAAATGGTTTAATGTGATGCCAGCAATGTCACCTAACCCAGTGACCTGATAGTGACATTCCCTGACTCAGTGACCTGGCAGTGACATCCTCTGACCCAGTGGCCTGATAGTGACATCCTCTGATACAGTGACCTGGCAGTAACATCCTCTGATACAGTGACCTGACAGTAATATCCCCTGATACAGTGACTTGGCAGTGACATCCTCTGACCCAGTGGCCTGATAGTGACAGCCTCTGATACAGTGACCTGGCAGTAACATCCTCTGACCCAGTGACCTGACAGTGACCTCCCCTGACCCAGTGACATGGCAGTGAAATCCTCTGACCCAGTGACCTGATAGTGACATTCCCTAAGTGGCCTGGCAGTGACATCCTCTGACCCAGTGACCTGACAGCAACATCCCCTGATACAGTGACATGGCAGTGAAATCCTCTGACCCAGTGACCTGATAGTGACATCCCCTGACTAAGTGACCTGGCAGTGACATCTTCTGACCCAGTGACCTGACAGTAACATTGCCTGATCCAGTGACCTGGCAGTGACATCCTCTGACCCAGTGACCTGACAGTAACATCTCCTGATACAGTGACCTGGCAGTGACCTCCCCTGATGTAGTGACCTGGCAGTGACATCCTCTGACCCAGTGACCTGACAGTAACATCTCCTGATACAGTGACCTGGCAGTGACCTCCCCTGACCTAGTGACCTGGCAGTGACATCCTCTGACCCAGTGACCTGACAGTGACCTCCCCTGACCCAGTGGCTGGACAGTGGCATCAGCTGACCCACTCACCTGATGTGTGTCCTTGTCCAGACTTGCTGCTGGTATTCTCAGGTGCTTGCTGAATAATGGCACAGCATCCTCATGGATCTTTGGCACTGGTGTTCTGTTTGCCACAAGGTGGTCATAGCTGTGAAAAGAGCTGGGGCACTGCTTGCGGATATTCCAGCCACAGGCCCCCCTCACTTCTCCAGTGCATCTCCCAGCATTTGCCTGTTGTGTGGACTGTTGACCATGGACTGGTGTGGACTGTTAGGTGCTGTTCCCAGTGGCTTCCATGAGGAGTGCTGAAGAGGGTCAATGGCCAGAATGTCTGAGTTCATCATACTGGCTTGTTCCAGAGTCTTCTCCATGATGTAGCATGTGAACCATTAATCTGGAGGATTGCCCAGAGCTGATGATGCTTAAAGGGAATGTTCCAGGATGTTAAAGGGAACTTTTCAGTGCAAAAGCTGCTCTAGACAACACAAGTTCTCTGTTAAGTTGACATGCTCCTCAGTATGTCATTGCTTGACTATGTTGTCATACCTTGCACAACATTGATTGGGAGCCAGTTGACCGACGTTATATCTGGAAAGTGCCTCACCAACGCCCAATATGAATGACTAGACAATTCTGTTTTCTTGGTCTTGATCACGGCATGGCCAACGGAATGGCAGGATTTGAAGTGCAGAATCTGGGATGCTTGGGTGACATCAAAATGGTCTTCAGAAATAGTCTGCATACCTCCATGGACATGTAGCTCAGAAAGTAGAAGGGCTAAGGTGGCAAAAATGGTGGACTGCACTGAGTTATCTTCAAGATGGCTGTTTCAGCACAAAACCTCATACAAATGTGGAGCACTCCCTTTCACTTGACTCGACCAGACACTACTCTTTGTGATGACATATGATAATTGATATGCTTTAAACATGAGTTCAGCCAATGTTATCTGATCTAACATTTCCAATTGAGACCTGACCTGACCTGACCTGACCTGGTGACCTGAAATCGTGACGTGACCAGACCTGGTGTTATGAAATGGCCTGGCCTGGCATCTTAACCTGGCAGTGCATCCCGACCTGACGTGGCATCCTGACCAGACGCGGCACCCTGACCTGATGTGGCATTCTGGCCTGACCTGTCCTGACCTGACCTGGTGTCGGCAGGATGCCGGAGCGGGTCGGCGACTGGACGCGGGTGCGTGACATCGGCTCCGGGGGTTTCGGCACCGTCGTTCTGTGGACCAACGCCGACACGGGCGACAAGATAGGTCCGCGCACCGAGCCAGCGCCCCATCCCCCAGCGTGATGGGTCGTGTCCCACCCCGTGCCGGGTCGCCCTTTGCTGTATCACCCGCAGAGTATGGGGCGCGCTTTTAAGCGCCGTTGGCATTCCTCTATTGCAGCTGATGCATGTCATTTTGCTTGCGATTATCCTGCTCCGGTCGTGTTTTGTAGCCCTGTGTGATGGGTTTGTTTCAGTGGGCCCTGGGACGTATTGCCTATACCGCGCCCCCGACAGCCGGCAGCGTCACAGAGATAGTGGTGACGACCTGTGATTCTGCTGTATTGGTATTGGTCATTTGTATATTTCTCCGCGTTTCCGTGGATCGCCCGCTTTCGGAATCACGCAGCTCTGCTCATCACTCACCTGTTATACCGTGCGCGTTTGTGCGGTCGCGTTGGCGCCTCGCGGGATTTGAACCCGCGACCTCCGCCTGTGGCCGCTCCGACCGCTGATGCGGCCACCGTCGGCCGGCAGCGATCAAGCAGTGCCGCTGGGGCGAGCCCGGGTCGGGCACGGAGGCCCTGCTGGTGCCCAAAGTGCGCGAGCGATGGCAGAAGGAGGTGGAGATCATGCTGAAGCTGGACCACAGGTGAGAGAGGGAGGGGAGGTGGCAGGGTGCACCGCGGAGCGCTACCTGCACAGACGTGCTTTGAGAAGTCATGACGATACTGGTTGTGTGAACGTATTGGGTGCCCTGTCCCACGCGTATGTTCCTCTCATCTGTTTAGGCGTTTTCAGGTTGTTGTCATGCCGTTGTGAGTGCTCTTCACTAGCCCATATGCACACCTTCATCCCATGGCCGTGAATGTAGTAGAGCCGTTGTGCGTGCGTCAAGACGTCCGCGCAGTGTTCCGACTGATTCCGGGAAGTGTGACGTCACATGTGGTGACGGCACCGGCTCTGTGACGTCGTACCTGGCTCGGCAGGGGTATCGTCAGCTGCATGCCCCTGCCGGCCGCCTTCCGCGTGGGCCCGACCGCCCTGCCCCGGCTCTGCATGGAGTACTGCGTGGGCGGCGATCTACGCAGGGTGCGTGCCGGGCCGGCCGGCCGGCGCCCAGTGGCCGCCGCCAGTCGGGGCGGCGGGGGGTTTGTGCGGGCGGCGGAGGGTCGAGTACACTGTCTTCCGCTCTTGGTGCACAGCGTGAGGTTCTGGAAGGCGACTTTCTAGTTCGGACTGTCTCGTTCATGTGACCTGCGAACTGTTGCGTCGATTTGCCCGGAGGTCGGCATCGAGTCTCGCTCCAACGCCGAGGGTTGCTGCGGTCTGGGTTTGAGCTGGCCTTGTGCTCGTGTGTTGTGGATGGCCTCACTATGGCGTGACAGCCGACATGTGCTAGCTAAGCCGTGAGCTTCTGCGGCCTGCCGGAGCGTGCCTCGAATGACGTCAATATGACGTCACAGGTTCTCCTGAGCGCGGAGAACTGCTGCGGCCTGCCGGAGCTGGCCGTGCGCCGGTTTCTGAGTGACATCACGGACGCCGTCGGCTACCTCCACGGCCTGCGCATCATCCACCGCGACCTCAAGCCCGAAAACGTGGTGCTGCAGGAGGTCGACGGACGGGTGCGTGGGTTCGAGTCCCGCCGCGGGCAGTTTTCGCCGGCCACGGCTTGCCTCGGCCGTGGTGTCATTTTTGAGAGGTGTCTGCGCTGGTGTGCGTGACGCTGTCCACGTCTCTGTCTGGCTTCGCGCGCTGGTCGCGTCCACAGCCGGGCCGCATCCCGCGTGCTTAGGTCTTGTCGGGGCGGAGGAGGGGTCCACCCCGTCCATCTGGTCACGTCTCCACCGCCGGGGTCCACTCTATCCATCCAGTCACCTCTCCACCTTGGGGGTCCACCTCACTCATCTGGTCACCTCTACCGCTGGGGTCCACCCCGCCCATCCGGTCACCTCTCCACCTTGGGGGTCTACCTCACTCAGCCGGCCACCTCTACCGCTGGGGTCCACCCCGCCCATCCGGTCACCTTTCCACGGCGGGGATCCACTCCGCCCATCCCTCCTTCCCACCGCTGCGGTGGCGAGCCGTCGCGAGAGGTCGGTATGCTGGGGCCGGCCTCCCCGTTACGTCGACTGTCGCGCGGCCCACAAACGCGCCGTGTGATGTGCAGGATATGTGGGGCGATGTTTTACATTATGCAGCCGCGGAATGTATGCACGGGCCTGGGCGCTACATAACGGTGCATGTGGTGTACCATCGGGACTCTGACACCACCCGATAACGCACCGAAGGACGCTGTGAAGACAGTATGTTCACGGCGCACAGTTGCAGTACCGATACTTTTTTAGGGTAACAACAAGGCCATGAAACCTAGCCATGCCAGGCCCCTCGTGTATACCAAGAAAAGTACGGCTACCCTAGCCGCAGTACATAGCTTACCCCTAAAATGAGCTGGCAAGGAGGCTTGTAAGCGCGATACCCCCCCCCCCCCCCCCAGGCGTGCTCGCAGGAGACTCACCCCCCCCCCCCCTTCTCCAGACCGTGTACAAGCTGATCGACCTGGGGTACGCCAAGGAGCTGGACCAGTCCAGCGTGTGCACCTCGTTCGTCGGCACGCTGCAGTACCTGGCGCCGGAGCTCTTCCTCACCAACAAGTCAGAGGCCGGCGCGTGCGGCGATCGCGTGCTGAAGGGTGACGATCGCGTGCTGAAGGCGTGACGATCGCGTGCTGAAGGCATGGTGATCGCGTGCTGAAGGCGTGACGATCGTGTGCCGAACGCATGGTGATCGCGTGCTGAAGGCGTGACGATCGCGTGCTGAAGGCGTGATGATCGCGTGCTGAAGGCGTGACGATCGCTGGGCTCTTCAGATATCGTGGAGCGAGCGAGCTACTGCCTGTGGCGGATTTGAACGGGGAATGTTTGTCGTTGCATTCCCCTCCAACAACAATGCCATGGGTGTGTTGCGTTTCCCTCCAGCAGCAATGCCATGAGTGTGTGGTAAGATACTTGCTCAGAAGCTCCTTTGTGCCTCATTTCGTAATGTGCATTCATTGTCCGTTGTGTCCTCCCCCCCCCCCTTCCATTGTCTGTTGTTACTTCCCACCTGTATGGTTTACGTTATTACGCGCTTTCTGCCTTGTGTGTCATTACCCCTAAAGCACTCTTAGAATTCTCCCAGCCCAGATATGTGCATTGCCCATAACATTCTACTCTTATAATTTCCCTGCATCGCTCACGGGACCTAGCAAATTGTGCATATTTACTGTTGCTGTCTTAGGCCACGCCTCGCTACACGACTATCATTCTCTCACCTTATCACTATTACTGTCACTATCACTATCCAGATCCCACAACTATCGCTATCAATCACTAGCACACAATCATGCCTCGTCGCGACGCCACATTCATCCCAGTCTCCCCTGCCAGCTCCCACGTCACCTCCCGTCCCTTCCGGTCCCGCCCTGTGCACCCGTCACCGGCGACCGTGACCCCGCCGAGGTCACGCGACCGGGGACCTCGGCAGGTACACCTGCACGGCCGACTACTGGAGCCTGGGTCTGGTGGCACATGAGGTGGTCACTGGTGTCCGCCCCTTCTTACCCAACATGGTGCCAGCCAAGTGGTAAGCGCAGTCCGTGGCCGGGGGACGTCCGCGACGTGCTGGGGGAGGAGGGGCGCCTGGGGTGGAGAAGCGCCCGCCGCGCTGAGAGGTCTGCGGGCTTGTGGCGGTACGCACGTTCCCCTGGCTTGCGCTCGGTGCGAGCTTTTCTGCCTGCTGGCGTTGTGCAGCTCTGGGGCTGGGGAGAGGTGTGGTATGTGGTATGCGGATGGAAAAAGGTGGCAACGTGCGTTTTTGGATGGATTCGTTTTCCGAAGTGTGCCTTACATGGTTTGTGTCGTTACACGCACGGCCCCGCGGCCCCGAGTAGAGCGTTGCACGCTCGCAACCGCACACTTTTTCGCCCCTTATGTGTTTGTCTATTTGATTTGTAACATTTCATCAAGTATCCCATAATGTGTTCGAGCGGGGTGTTTTCTTATCGCGGTGTGTCATGTGAATTGGCACGCTTGCGAACCGTGCCATGTATCGGTGACCTGACGCACCTGCACTTTGCCCGTCTGTCGCCAGGATGCAGCACGTGTCGCAGAAGGGCCCCGACGACATCTGCGCGGAGGAGTTGGAGGACGGCACGATCGTGTTCCGCTCGGAGATCGTCGGCTGTACCCATATCTCCAGGTCAGTCGCCGTCGACGCGGCGAGGCGAGCAGGTCGGTGACGTCCCAGCGTGGCGTGGAGCGTGGGTGAAGGGGGCCGGCATGGGCGGAGCTCACCATCTGGTCTGTTCCTCTCTCTCGGGCTCATCTCGAGTCCCCGCGGCGTCCCGTTTCTCCACGGGGAGGGGGAGGGGAGAGCTGCAGTATCAGCCGGGAGCCGGCCGAAACGCCGTTCAGGAAGGGACGCCGCCTCGTCACCCGCATCAACGCAAAAGAACAGTCCTTGCTTGCGGTGTGGCCCGCTGGCAGACCACGCCTACGATGGCCGCAATATGGGGACTTGCCATTGGCAGCGAGAGAAAGAGAGGGAGAGAGAGAGAGAGAGAGAGAGAGAGAGGGAGAGAGAGAGAGAGAGAGAGAGAGGAGAGAGAGAGAGAGAGAGAGGGGGAGGGACAGAGGGACAAGGACAGGGACAGAGAGAGGGAGAGGGAGATGTATATATATATATATATATATATATATATATATATATATATATATATATATATATATATACATATATATATATATATATATATATATATATATATATATATATGTTGTGCGTGTGTGTGTGTGTGTGTTCTATTATGTATAACTAACGCGCCCACGGGCCGGTTGTTAACCGCCTAAGCTGGCCGTCGGTCAGCCCCTAGCCGCCTGGCGTTCACCAGCGACCCATCCTCTCACGGACCCACCGTCGGCCCCGTCTCCGCTGCCGACTGATCTCGGCCGGCGCTGTGCCCCCGGGACAGGCCGCTGCGGCAGCAGCTGGAGCCGTGGCTGCGGCGCCTGCTGGACTGGGAGCCGCGGCGGCGCGGCCGCCTCTCCGCCGACTCGCCGCACGTGGTGGTGTTCGACCAGCTGCAGCAGCTGCTGCAGCGCAAGGTGGTGACCGTGTTCGGCGTGGCCGGCTGCCAGCTGCTGCACCTAGAGATCGACCAGCAGACGACGATGCGGGACGTGCAGGTGGGAGGCGGTGGGGGAAAGCCTGCTAAAGGCTCGGAGAATGGGGAGGCGCTGGGGGGAAGCCTACTGAGTGACTGGGAGGGGGAGGCGCTGGGGAGAGAGTGACTGGGATGGGGAGGCGCTGGGGAGAGAGTGACTGGGAGGGAGAGGCGCTGGGGAGAGAGTGACTGGGATGTGGAGGCGCTGGGGAGAGAGTGACTGGGATGTGGAGGCGCTGGGGAGAGAGTGACTGGGATGGGGAGGCGCTGGGGAGAGAGTGACTGGGATGTGGAGGCGCTGGGGAGAGAGTGACTGGGATGGGGGGGGGGGGGCGCTGGGGAGAGAGTGACTGGGAGGGGGAGGCGCTGGGGGGGGGGGGGGGGTCCGGGACCGACTGTGTGTGTGGGAGTTGGCTGACTGGGTAGTCGTGGTGGAGAGGCGGAGTGGAAGGGGACGGCGGGAGGATGAGAGGCAGGGCGTTGCTGTTTGCACGGATTCTCATGTTTGTCGGGTATATCTGTGCTCATATATATGACTCATTGGACTTCGTTGTTGTCATGTGTTGAATGCCAGCACGGATAACACAAAATGATCCCAGCTTATCTTTTACCAGGCACCAGACTTAGATCCGTAATTAGGGTGCTACACTGCAACCTCTTGCAAAAAACAAATTGGGTGTGGTGGCCACAAACTCCCCATAATCTGCTGGGTGCATGCGTGAGTCATGCTAAATAGCGTGGACACCACGTGGGCCCTTGTTCTGCGTGATGCCCCTCCCCCTCCCCCTCCCCTCCTGCTTTTCCTCCCTCCAACCTGTGAATTCAGCAGCGCTGGCAGGCGGACTGGTCACAGCTCCTCAGCGGACCAAGCTCCTGGGATGTGCGAGGCACGGGGTTTGGTCGCACACCAGCTGGGCATTACGGGCCGACTGTATGGTGTGCGTTGCTGGTGAGAAACCTCGTGGATTGGTCGGCGTGATGGGGGTTTGTGGACCTTACAATCTAGTGAGAAACCTCGTGGATTGGTCGGCGTGATGGGGGTTTGTGGACCTTACAATCTAGTGAGAAACCTCGTGGATTGGTCAGCGTGATGGGGGTTTGTGGACCGTACAATGTAGGTGGTGTACCTTGTAAGCCTTCTGGGACTCAGTACCTGATCATATGTGGTGATGCACTGTAACGTCTTGCATATGTACTGGAGCACAAACAGTGGCCGTGAACCAACAAGGAGAGAAGCTGAGCATGAGAATGACGATTGGACCAGATGTCCCTGCCCCCTACATAGCCTGGGCCCTGGAGACCGGACCGTAACTCCAGGCTCAGATTGCTGGTCGTGATGACCTTGACCGCTTTATTGACCCAGACGGGGTCACGAATGCGGTCCCCGTGCGTGTTGACCCAGCTAACCCCACCATGCTGACGTGCGCGGCGTCCGCACATTCTGACCCTAATGACCGTGGCGGGGTCAAGAACGTGGCGCCGTGCCAGCTGACCCCACTGACCCCCCCGCCCCCCCCCCCCCCTCCACGGCAGGCATTTGTAAAGCTCAGCACAGGCCTCGAGCCGACCCGCCAAGACCTGCGCCTGCCCAGGGGTGACCGACCCGGCACCAGCCCCGCCCAGTCGGCGCTCCAGTGCTGGGCGCCGCCGCAGGTCGGTGACCCCTGCCTGTCTTCTGCCGACAGCGGCAGACTCGCAGCGGGTGGCCCGAGTCGTGTGTGTGTACGGTGCGTGTCTGAACTGTCCGTAGCACGATGTGATGCTGTGGCGCGAAAAGATTGGCATGCTCACGTGGGAAGGAGGAGGGGGAGATGTGTTTAGTGCCCAGGCCGCTGGCTGCACTAGCTCGCACTGAGATCAAAGATCGGCATGCCCACGTGGGAAGGGAAGACGGGAGATGGGTTCATTGTCTAGGCCGCTGGCTGCACTAGCTCGCACTGAGACCGAAGATTGGCATGCAGATCTTCCGCAATGAGTTATGTTCACGATATTGTATGTGTACCTTGAAGTCGTGAAACCATGTAGCACATGCTAGAGGTGCTAACCAATGGGGTTTCAAGGAAAGTTTTAAAAGTTGAAAGTTCCTTCGTGATATTTTGGAAAGTTTGGAGCATTGGAAAATTCCTGCGACACTTTGCGGATTATAACCTTGAATGTTTTAGAACGTTTCGCTCAGTAGTCAATCGCGATGGCGGTTCCCTAAGTCAGCGCCTGAAAGTGCGTGAGCTCACTACGCCCCCCCCCCCCCTCGGCCGTCCACACAGGAGGAGACCGAGTGGGTGCTGTACGTGTTCGACGCGGCCGGCGCAGAGGGCGGCGGCTCGGCCGACATTCAGCTGCCGCCACTGGTGCTCGAGATGCTGAAGGACACGGAGCACCGGCCGGCCTACTACCGACAGGTCAGGTCAAGGACACGGAGCACCGGCCGGCCTACTACCGACAGGTCAGGTCAAGGACACGGAACACCGGCCACCGACAGGTCAGGTCAAGGACACGGAACACCGGCCACCGACAGGTCAGGTCAAGGACACGGAACACCGGCCCGCCTACTACCGACAGGTCAGGTCAAGGACACGGAACACTGGCGCACCCGCCACCGACAGGTCAGGTCAGGGACACGGAACACATTGGCCCACCGGCCACCGACAGGTCAGGTCAAGGACAAGGAGCACCGGCCCGCCTTCTGCCGACAGGTCAGGTCTTGGACACGGAACACCGGCCCGCCGGTTACCAACAGGTCAGGTCAGGTCAGAGACACAAAACACGGTCCGCCTGCTACCTGCAGTTCAGGTCAGGTCAGAGACACGGATCACCGGCCTGCCTACTATCAGCACGTCAGGCCAGGGACACTGAACACTGGTCCACTCGCTACCGATAGGTCTGGTCCAACAGTTAGCCTCACACAGTTCACAAATATGGCTGAGTCATGTTTTGCTGGATATATGTACGCATTGTCTTGCCACGTTAGCATATATCATCGCCACAAAATGCAGATTGCTGTGCTGGATTATACCGAAGCAGGCCTCATATCATTTATTTCCATGCCGTTGTCTTCAACTTGATTGTGCTCATTATGTTTCGCATCCCGGCCCCCTCGATCCGCGTTTGTAAGCTGAATCTCGCGTTGTGTCCGACAGAGGGCAGTGTACGGACAGGCGGTCTTCCTGATTCAGCAGCAGACCAGACTGCTGTCACTACTGCAGAAGGCGCAGCACGTCCACATGTAGGGAACCCGTGCCGTGTTCTCCCGTCTATGAAATGTGGCGTGTGATTAACACGCTGGCTGGTGTGCCGCAGATTGTGTAGAAGCCAGTGGCTGATTTTGACGGCAGCAGCTGGTGTATAGGAACTGGAAATGACGAACCTCCAATTATGCATTGTTTTTACCTGAGATGATGTGAGGTCAGCTTGATGGTCATCAGACCATATGTCACGACAGGTCAGAGACGACTTAGATGATAGATGATGACCTAGACAACCTGTGTGACCTTCACCAATGCCTGACTCGACTGTCGCGCGGCAGGGTGGCGCTCGTGGCGCTGGCTCTCGTGGCGCCGGCCTACTGACCGGCTGACTCCGTGACACGACCTTTGAAGTGACCTCTGGCAGGATTTTCAGGCTTCTGACCTGACCTCTAAGAGGATGTGCTGACCTCTGACAATGTGCTGACCTCTGATGGGATGGTCTGACCTCTGACAGGATGTCGCTGGCCGGCACCATGTCGCGGCTGACGCGGCTCAGCGAGCGCATGACCTGTGACCTGGCGCGGCTGCAGGCCTCCTCCGAGCTGTTCCACGCCTCGCTCGGGTGGGACGATGAGAACTACAGCCGGCAGGCGGCCGCCGGCGGCGTCAGTGAGTGCGTGGTGCTGGCAAGGGCTCGATTTCCGCCGCGGGAAACTGTCAGGAGCGCAGTTGCTGCTGCGGTGTGCTGACTGTGGTCGTAGTAGCGGTATGGACAGGCACTTATTTGACCGTTGCGCTGTTGTTAAGATGTAATTTGGAAGATGGTGTACTTCATTACTGTGTCCTCCATCGCGCATGGCCGTAGGTTTGTGCCCATTGTTTGTGTTATGTGCGTTTATGAGCTATGTGGAAGCTTTGAATACGCGAAATACATCAGATTAAAACTCTAGTGTTGCTAATTTACGAAACATGCCCGTAAGCTTGATGTCCCCGTCATCCAGTAAACATGAGCATTCGCGCCCTTCACCCGTGTCATCCCGGACGTGTCGCCATCTACCGCCGACCGTCTGCACTTCTACTTCAGCATCGGCCCGCGTATACGGCACGTGGCGCCAAGCGGGTGAGCAAGTGCGGCGGCGCCACCACCAGAGCCACGAACTCGTGCAGCAGCTGACGGCGGCTGTGCGTGACGTCACGCGGCGCGGCACCGAGCTGCAGCGCGTGCCTGGCAACCGGCAGAAGCCCGATGGCTTCGGGCTCTTGTGAGTGTCATGGGCGGCGCTAGCGTCGCGCTGTCGTCCTGCGTTGTTTTGCGCAGCGATTGGTGTGCTGGTGTTGCAGTGCTGTCAGTTTTGTCGATGTAGCAAACGTTTGCTCGAGGGCTCCGTGTAGCCATTGCCGCCTGGTATATTGAGGGTCGATTATCGTCAGTGAGAACTCTCGAGTCGACTCACTCCCAACTCCGAGCCCAACTCACTCAACCACTGTTGCCTTGGTATGCCAGACGCTGCGAGGCAGAGAAGTAGACGCGCCTTAAGCCGGCCACCACCCGCGGGTGCTCTATACTTTAGGAGGGTGGGGGGACGCCTGGCCAGGTGGCGCGTGAGAGATTGTTCGGTGCACCTCGCAGCAGCCGCTGCTGGGGTGTGGCCTCTGTAGACCCCGGGCCTTGGCCGCCACGAACGCTCACGCACAATCGGAGGGCGGACTGCACTACCAGGCGATGCTGGCGGCCGGTTTAAACCGCGGTTTCACCGCGTCCTAGCAGTGGTCACGCCTACCCCTACTGCATGGTGGAAAAGCACGGGTTTCGCGGGCCCGTCGTCAATACCGCACAGCTCTCACCAATCTCACAGCGCTGGCGGCGGGAAGACCAGGCCCACGGCGTACGCTCGCTCCAGCGCCACCCGCCGTTCGCAGCCAGGACTGACCCCTCCCCTCCCCTCTCCCCCAGCTATGAGAAGGCGTGCGAGGTGTACGAGGCCCACCGGCGCCGGCCCAAGGAGCAGCGCGGCCAGCGCACGAGCAACGCCGAAATGATCCGCATCGTCGCCAAGTTCATCCGGAACAGGAGCGAGCCGTTCGCCGAGCTGTACCGCGTGATCGGGTCAGTGGGTCACGGCACGGCACGGCACGGCACGTCCTGTCACGCACGTCCGCGTGTGGTGAATCTCGGGGTGCAGAGCCGCTTGCTGGAATGGTCGTTCGCTGGCTGACGGTGTGTGCTGAGTGTGTGTGAACTAGCGCCGTGTGACGAGAGTGTGCGTGAACTGGCGGTGTGTGACGAGAGTGTGCGTGAACTGGCGGTGTGTGACGAGAGTGTGTGTGAACTGGAGGTGTGTGACGAGAGTGTGCGTGAACTGGCGGTGTGTGACGAGAGTGTGCGTGAAATGGCGGTGTGCGACGAGAGTGTGCGTGAAATGGTGGTATGTGACGAGAGTGTGTGTGAACTGGCAGTGTGTGAAGAGTGTGTCCGTGAACTGGCGGTGTGTGGAGAGTGTGTCCGTGAACTGGCGGTGTGTGACGAGAGTGCATGTGAATCGGCCGCTACGGCATCGTCCGCTGTGTGTAACCCAACCGGTCCGTCGGCGCGTCGCCGAGTTATCGGATGTTATCGCCGAGTTATCGGATGTTCGGCGATACAGAGGACAAGCACGCCGGGAGCTGTACCGTGGTTTAGTCTCCCAGTTTACCCGAACGCGACTATAGCGCTGCTCGTGATCACCTCTGTTCGCATGGCTGTCCAGTGGTCCGTGTGACTGTCCAGTGGTCCGTGTGACTGTCCAGTGGTCCGTGTGACTGTCCAGTGGCCCGTGTGACTGTCCAGTGGTCCGTGTGACTGTCCAGTGGCCCGTGTGACGGTCCAGTGGTCCGCGTGGCTGTCCAGTGGTCCGTGTGACTGTCCAGTGGTCCGTGTGGCTGTCCAGTGGCCCGTGTGACTGTTCAGTGGTCCGCGTGGCTGTCCAGTGGTCCGTGTGACCGTGTGGCTGTCCAGTGGTCCGTGTGACTGTCCAGTGGTCCGTGTGGCTGTCCATTGATCCGTGTCGTCTGGTGGTGCAGCCGACACGGCACCGGGGGCGGCGGTCGCATGGCTGCCTCGTCGTTCTCGTCTGCCCTGGTCGGCACATGCGGGCGACAGCGGCAAACTCGCGTGCGCGTGGTCTGGCTGGGTGGGCGATGCAGGAGACTCACACAGCCAGTGGCGGGATCACGGCAGGTGATACATGGGCGGCGGCGGGAGCCTCGCAGATGCAGTGGATCACGCTGTGATAACGCCGTGGTGGTCCAGTGATGGTGCCGTGGTTATTCGGTGATGATGCTGTGATGGTCTGGTGGCGATGCCGTGATAATTTGATGGTGATCCGGTAATGATTCGGTGATGATCCGGTGATGATCCGATGATGACACGGCGATAACGCCGTGACGATCCGTTGATGATCCTGGTGATCCGGTGATGTCGGTGACGATCCGGTGATGATGCCGGTGATGACTCGGTGATGCGAGCGTGCCTCGGCCGCGCAGGCGACAGCAGGCGATCCAGCGGGAGGTGGACGAGCTCTCGCGGCCGCTGTCAGAAGCCATCGATGGTGTGCACCGGTGCCTGGACCTCATCTCGCGCTATCAGAAGCAGCGCCAGAGCGAGATCTGGAAGTTCATGGAGCTGGTGGTGAGAGAACGGCCGCGAGTTGCCGCATGCATCCACGGGTGCGACCACGTCTCTGAGGTTGGGGGACAAATCAGGGACGAATGGGGATGGCGGCGGCCCAACTGGAGACTGGGCGTGACATTCTGACTTGAAATGAACATTTTGAATGGGGAAAAGTAAGGGATGTGCATTCGACCGCAAAAATTGGAATACAAAATCTGCCTTCCCAAAACGCTGCGGCCACCTTGCTTGATGATGGGTAGGGGTTGTTTGAACACGTGTATTGGGAACGGGATCCGGAGAGCAGCGGTGCCAGAGCACTGGGCGCGCTGAGCGCTGTTGATTTCATTGAGGTCTGGCGATGCATTGGACGGTCCAGGTTGCTAAGCGTCGAATCTCCCACGCCGTTTTTCTACGGCGGGGACGATGAAACGTTCGGCAGGGAAGCAGGCTCGAACCCTGGACCTTGCGTCTGTGAGACGAGCTCTCCCAGCCGCGCGGCTGGCCGGGGCCCACCACGGACGCCCGTTTTGATGGTGGTGGAGCTGGGCCAGCGTTCGAAGCGGCGCGTTAAAACGGTGAAGTGAAACCGGAAACTTGGATCTTCACAGTCTGTCTCGAACTTCCAGCGCGAAGCTCTTGACCCCTGTGCGGCCATGGTGTCGACGAAAGCACCGTCTTAGTCCACCCCGCGTGCATTGCCAAGCTGCGTCGCTGGAGTTTGCGTGTGTGGGCTGTCGTCTCTTCATGGCATGTTATGCTAGCGTCTTAGCGGCCGTGTTAGGGGATGGCTTCTGGAGGCCATCCCAAGCCGTTTCGGGACGCGGCCCTGTATGTCTTCACGCATTTGTCGTGGAAACACGCAGGCACCTCGGCTGGTTACGATTTAGCACGACCTAGAGCCCTTCTTGAACGAAAACGCTCGCGCCACACGCGGGCTTATGCGTTAATGCATCGGCATGTAAGTTATTATTCAATTATGCGAGTATGTCGCGAGTGTGGCAGCAGGGGAGTTAATGCGTTAGTCACTGCACGTGATAACTGGAGAGAAACATATTACAATAGTAGACTTATTAGACTTCTTGTAATAATAAAGCCACCGCTCTGTTCGCAGCTTCACGCGAGCGCTGCTCTGCCGCCCAGTAACGCTAGCAGCGCGTCCGGCCGCACCGCCTCCACGGTCGTCTCAGACAGTGCGGAGGTCTCCGGTAAGTGGCGCCGGTGCGGCGACGCCGGCGGACTGGCCGCGGGGAGCACGTGGCGGGGAGGGGTAAAAGGAACGCTCGTCTGGTGTCGCCCGAGCGCCTGACATGGGATGTGTGGGACATGGGAGGACTGTCCTGCCTTGTGGGCGTGTAATGACCATCGCGGTCGGCGCACCCTAAAACTCCAATCATCATCCAAGCCCCTCGCGGTTTAAACGACAGCTTATTGCGTGCTCAGTCAGAGCAGTTACAGACCGGCACGCAAGCCTTCCGGGTAATGTGTAAACCGTCACTTCTCAACGCTGTTTGTGGTCGTTGCGAATTTGGTCACTGTGGTTGTGCGCATGGGTGCCAAGTATTCCTTTTTATCATTTGATGCAATGGTAGTTTTTGAAATCTGTCCGGCAGTTTCAGTAGTTTTTTTGTAGTTTCAGTAGTTTTTTAGTTTAAGGAGTCATTGGCTGACAGTGGCCTCGAAAATCCTCCACGAATTTTGCCAATATGTTAAGTAGCCCCGGCGCGTTCCCACAGGTAAATTGACCCGTGGAATTATGTGGCAAACGTTTTAAGGCCCCAGGCATCGTAGCAAGACATATGGTAGTTGCATTCAGTACACGACTTTTGAAAGGTCGCACGTTTGTTTGCACAAGCTGTTGCCTATTAACGGGACGCCTTAAGGTCAGCAGAATATTCTTTGTCAGGCCACGCCCCGGAAGCTCTGCCCGCTGCCGACGCAGAGGTAGTATCGCTGGCCAACCTGCTGGACTCCGCGACGCTAGAGACATCTGACGCCGTCTCGGAGAACCTCAACCTGCACGCAGAGTGAGGAGGGGCGCTGGTGGCAGATGGGTTTGGGTGGGCGTGGCTTCCGCGTGGTAGCGAGATGTTGCGTTTTCTGTTTTGGTTGTGTGGTTTGGGCCAACACCTGCGGACATTGCCAAGGGCCATGATGTATTCGCGCGATTTTCTTAGCTTTGTCATTGTTAACCTTTTTAGGCACCATTAGGGTGGTTTGCGATCCTTGCTGCGTTCTTTCACTGTTTGAGCCGTGGGAAAGAAACTCGAGTAGGCAATTATTTTTTCATAATGGTCAACTTAATGGTGTCACTGTGCGGCATGGTGTAGTATGCATGGAATAGAGGTATGCTGGTTAGTGTTGTGCACACTGGTAGATGTCCATGGTTGTATACATGCATTCAGCTGATCACATACATGTGAGCAGTGCCTATCACAGTCCCAACATGCTCCTTGTCGCCTGCGTGTTGGGATACGGGGGTGAAGACGTATGGAATATCAGCCTTATGTATGGAGAAAGCTGACGTCAGGCTTGTGACACCGCGTGCAAAATAAGGCGGTTCAAGACTGGTCTGCCCCTCCATCTCTTTGAAGAACCCACTTGTGCTGGCCTCCTGTATCCAGACTGTCAATTTTGTTGGCTTCGTTGCCACCTGTCATTCAGATTTTTGTCATTCTGTTGTGAAAATGCCTTGTTTCTTGTGGCTCCGGCTTCAGGCGCGTTTCTCATCGACAGGATCAGCCAGGTGCTGCAGTCCACTGAGCCAGCCCCGTCACCTGACGGCGACCCGATAGACTGGAACTTCCTTAAGTAGTCACTGGATGGCGCTGCCGTCGGTGCGCGTATTGTGGCACAGCGTCTGGAATGGTGCGCTCGTTCGTCCAATCAGCGAAGGATCTGAAACGGCTGCCACAACGCTTCTGCTCCGGACCAAAGACTGTACTCTTCGAAGCGGTGCCTTCTGCGTGGGGTCCGGACCACGTGCCATAAGACGATAGTTTTTACATTGCTTTACGAATGTCAGGGCTCGTGAAAAGAAGCAATAGTGTGTGTTCGTGGGCTGGCGCGTTTGCATGTGTTGGGCGCTGTCCGTCGGGATGCTCGTCGATTCCGGTTGGCGGTCGCCTTTTTGCCTTCCTGCGCGACTTATGCTGTATGTTAGACGGCCTGTGACCCAAGATATCGTGCTTCAGTGCAAAATTCAGGACACTTCTGTGCACGGGCGACTCCAAATTTCTAGACACCAGCGATCGCCGCTTCCTGAGGCGGCACCCCATGCGGGGCCCGCCCGATCAGGGGCGCTCACGGCCTGTTATCGCATGGGAGCTCTCGGCCAGTCCGCTGGCCTGCTTGTCTCAACTCACCTGTGCGCCCGCGCGCCGCGCTTGGCCCAACAGCCCCGGGAACGACGCTTGGCGGCGATCGGCTCCGCGCGTTCACTGCGTTCACTGCGCTGTGAGCTTGAAACGCACGGTCCCGCTCGCTTTGCTCGCCGGTTGGCCGCCCCGCACCGTGAAGTGCCGAGCGCGTGCGCGCAGCGAGCGTGCTCGGTTGGCCTGAGCCCAAGTGGCTCCACCGCTGTTGCTGTCGGCTGGGCGGGCGCGCGGCTCGACGGCTCCACATTGTCCGGCGCCGGTCGTCGGAGGGAGCGCGGGGGCGGGCGTGGCCGCGCGCGTGTCGACGCCCCGAGACCATGTGGTACCGGGGGTCCCGAGTCTGGTTGGTACCGGGAGTCCCGAGTCCACGTGGTACCGGGAGTCCGAGCACTCCTAGTACTGCATTCTCTTATGCACTCTCAATATGACTCAGAGCACTTTCAGTGGTGCTGGAGTGGTCAGGGATATGCGGTGCTGAAGTCGTCGGGGATGCGTGGTGGTCGGGTCGTTGGTGATGACACATTCCGCGCCGGATGGTGCCCGTTGTTGGCTGTGGGTGCTGCGACTTGGCCTGCTCCGTCCGCCACCGCTCCCGCCATCGCCGTTGCCCCCGTCCCTGACCCCGCCGAGGCCCTCAAAGGCTTCCGCGCGGCGCTTGCGACAATCTTCTAACGCGGCGCACCAGCCGAGATGGGCTAATGCGTGTCTGTCGTCGCTCACACGCCACCGCCTTGTGCCGCCACGTCCAGCCACCAGCCGTGATGCTCTATGCAGTACTCTGTCGCTAACTGCGGTGGATTGACTCCGCAGCGTTTTCCTTTTGTCCCAGAAAACGACACGCTGGAAACGACGCTACACTCTAGTCACGACGTGTGCCAAATTACGACGCCGCATGTCACGTGACTATGCCTATGCTGTGTTATGTACTGTAGACAAGCGCCTGGAAGACAGCTTTCCTCCGCGGGATTTGGCTTGCATAATCACCCGATGTCTTCATATGACAGGTGGCTGAACCGTCTTACCGCGGCGGGGGTGGTGCAGCCCTACATGCGGACCCCTATATCATATTTTTAGACTGGTTGTTCGCACAGTTGCCACCACTGGTTTTAAGTATCGTGTTTTTTCGTCCGCAATCAGTGTTTGGCTTGGCGAGTTAACGCATCGCTTTTATCATATGCTTAGCTGAGTTTTGACCCCTCTACTACGTACCTTTTTAATTGCTTGACGCGGCAAAGCACAAATTCGTCCCCTCGCGATCTTGCCTGGGGAACTGCTAGAAGCTGAAGGCATGTGCTGGTATCCTCGCACCCCTCTTCAGCCGTAATCCCTGTGGGTTGAATTGTGATGGAGTTGTTATGTCCATGGTAATCGAACGCGTTCGCCAGACTGCAACTGCTGGATGCCGATTTGTGACACATCTTAAGCCGCCCTGGTGTTATGCGGAAGTGCTTTCCGGCGTGACCTGCTGGTTGGGCGGGCGCTCCTGCGTCGCGCGTTGAAGCGCCGCGTCTCCGTGAATAAAATCCAAGTGCTTTGAGCTGTTCTGGAACTGGATCGTGATTCGAACGCACCGGCTTGTATTAAGCTGATTGAGCATTTTTTTTATTGGATGTACGCATGGTGGGGTTGAAGAACGCGAGCAATCCCAAAACGAGGAGCGGTGGGAATGTTGCTCGCTCTAGCCTGGACCGTCAGCTGTTGATTGTTGCTAGTTAACGCGCCCGGGTTGTTTCCGTGTTTGCGTTGTTGCATGCGCTACTGAAGCTGCTGTTACTCGAGGTGTGGGAAGGGCTTGGTCACGTCTGGGTGTACGGAGGGGGCTAAAAGGGTGTGCAACCACACTTCCCACCACCTTGCGAGATTAAAGGAAACAGGGGCATGCCCAAGTTCGTAAATTACCAAACCACTGATCATTGCAAGGCAACTGAAGTCCCGTACTCACGAAGAGAACGGGAGTCTCGGTGGAATGTGCGGCCGTGCGCGGACATGGTAATCGATATCGCATACAGGTCGAATCGTTACGGTCTGGGAGCCAAGGGAGCCAGGTGATGTCAGACATTGAAATTTGGCGTCCGTGATCGTTTTTTGTAGCATTATCATGATCCATTCGGTTCTGCAGCAATGTGGCCGTCTAAAGCGGCACATGAAGCGTGAATGATGCGCGCCGGTCAATTTGGTAGCTGCTGCTCGCCATACCTCGCCGCAGGTGCGCTGTTATTGTGCTTCAAATCAAGGCCATCCGTGTTTTGTGTAGCTTTCACGTTAGTATTATTTACAGTGTCGCAGTTTTTCTACTACCCCACAGTTTGGAACTATAAGGTGCAAGAATTGGCAGACATGTCGTGTCGTGCTGTATTTTATCCTTTGAGGTACTTATGCCACTTCTCGAAGCCAAGGTGTGGGACGGAGCGGTTCATGGGCGGGTGGCATGGCACCCCCACTTTTCCAGAATGCTGAGCATTAATCCTCCGGCGGCGCATTGTTAGAATGGACTTCAAAATTGGTAATGGTGCCTTCAATATCTGAGATGCTCTTTGAAGCATGGAAGACAGCTGCGTAGCTCGAAGTTTTCCATACAACTGCACTGCTGTAACACTTACAGTAAATTTGTCTTCTGACACATTTGCACCCCTTTATGATTCTTGGTATATTTATGTGGCATGCCCATGGTTCGTAGGCATGAGGGAAATTAGTTAGTTTGTCTGCTCCCATCACCCAATGGATTATATTGCCTTGAATCAAACCCATGGCAGAATAAGTGGGTTTGAGCCTGTTTGGTGCTCAAAATTTGCATTTGGTTGGGATGGGCTGTGGTCACTAGGGGTGGCAGCTCAAGTTCAGGTATTGTAGGGAGCAGGCAGATTTTTCCAATTGTTGTGACATTCCAGACTTCTTAACAACTCTAACTAAGGGCTAGTGTGTTGTTTGCTGAGATTGATGTCATGTTTCAGTCAAACAGTATGCACCACATTTCATCTAAAAGTCTGGAGATTGGAGAGTAACATGGGCATCATTATTTTCCAGGCAGTCACAAGCACCTCTAATTAAGTCTCACCCTGACAGAAGTTTGGACTATACCATTTCCTTAAAGATGCGCTGAAGTCTTTCTTGCATCCATTTTCTGTGCAGGCATCATTGCCTAGGCTTCCTGCACCTCCTGGTTTGCATCTAGCAACTGCTGCCTGCCATCTTCTGGCAGCAAATTGTCAGCTGGCCAAGTGTTGAGTGTGATCAGGAACCAGGAACACAAGGACATTGGTATCAGGAGCACAGCCAGGATCCAGCACAGCACCAGCACCAATGGCATCCCCGCTGCTGGTGCTGGCTGCCACTTGTGGACGCGGCCTGAGAGCACAGCACCAGCTGGTGCGTGCCCTGGTGACGTCGCGCCGGCTGGTGCACCGGGCCGCTGCCAGGGGCGCCACCAAGGACCGGCCGCCGGCCGATTTTGACAGCTTCGGCACATGGGACTCTCGGTGGGAGCTTCCGCTGGCGCTCGGCTCCAGCATCAAGCACGGCAAGCCGATTCCACGCATCGACGCGCCGGCCGTGGGCATCTCCAGTCTGCAGGTACGGGCTCTGGACGTGCTGGCCACTGATGAACACCTGGTGAATGCCAGAGCCTTAGGGCTGGAGATATTTCCAGAGACCTGTGGGCAACCCCGGTGTGCAGGTGCTGGCTCTGTGCTTGTATCCTGGTGACATCCCCAGTCCACGTATTGGGCCCTTCAGTGTCCGCAGGTGTGGGCTCTAGGCATGCTTCTTTCTATTCGCATCTCTGATGGCATGCCCAGTGTGCACGCCACATGGGCGCCTCCATTCGCCAGATGCAGGCACGGGACGTTAGAGATTTACGTGACCAACAAAAGGTGTGACTTATTGTACCTATGTTCTACAGCAAAGGACCCGTGGGACCCGGGATTCACTATTGGTATACAGATACGGGCGCGCTGGGAATGGTTCTAATTTCCCTGTCAAGGTGTCGAATGAAGCCAACCGCTTTGGTCCTAGAGCATCGCAGTTCTTCCCGCCGATTTGGGTTAGTTAACCGAAGTGCAGCAGGCAGCAAGCATAAAATGCACCTGGTCCACGCTTAGTTCCGTGAACTTAGGTCCTTTCAGTGTATTGGGCTCCCCACCAGGGGCTGGTCAGTGAAAGCTCGGATTTAAAGGTGTAAAAGGTGGAGGATAAGGCTGTGGTCTGGAGCTGGGACGCTGACCTGCTCTGTGCACTCATATAGCCTCGGTCGCAGCCTCAGCACACAAAATAAGAATTTTGTGCGCTCAGTTTTCATAACTTCAAATTACGCTGCGTGTGCATTTTAACAGACATGGCTGGGTTTCAGAGGCACGACTTGTGTATGAGTGATTTGCAAACGGTGGAATCTGGTGTGTGGTGGTCTGAGTGATGCTCGCGTGCCTGCGTGCGTTGGTTTTAGAATCTGTTAGTTATTTTTATCCGTCATCGTGATTTCGTTTATCTTACGTAGTGCTGGTTATCTGCGGCACATTCGTTTTCCTATTATGCAGCACGTAAAACACCAGCATAGTGCTGGTTGCCTACAGGCTGACCCGGCGCTCTGATCCCTGCCCCTGCTGCCAAGGTTTCCATGGCTGTGGTGTGCGAGTACTACAGAACCAAATCGGCACAGCAAAAACTACCGGTCCCGAGACCGGCGGGTCTTGCGTTCAATTCTTTCTCGGTTCGCATTTCGCCGCCTTGATCGCTGCACGACATCCATGAAGAAACGCCCAACGCGGGGAACATCACGGCATTTTTTTACCGATGCCCCCTCCCCCTCCCCCGCTCCACCAGCCCCACATACCACAATCTGCGTCGATACCTCAGCTTGGTCCGTGTCGAGTTGCCATGTCTGCGCGGCAGGGAAAGCGTCGCTACCAGGAGGACCGCTGCGTGGCGGCGGACGTGGCCCCGGACCTCCTGTTGACCGCCATCTTGGACGGTCACGGCGGGGCCGAGTGTAGCCAGTTCTGCTCACAGCACCTCGTGCCCATCGTGCAGGTGAGCAAACGGCACAGAGAGCACTTTGGGGCAGGACGAGCGCTTTCGGGCAAGGGCCGCTCCAAAGTGCTCTTCGGGGGAGAGGAGCACTTTGGGGCAGGGTGAGTACGTCGGGTCAGAGCGGGCACTTCGGTTAGGGCAACCACTTTGGGGCAGGGTGATCACTTTGTGTTGGGGTGCGCACTTCGGGGTAGGGAAAGCACTGCGGGTTAGGGTGACCACTTCGGGGAGGGGTAATTGCTTTGGGGCAGGGAGAGCACTGCGGGACAGTGTCAGCGGGCGGGACGGGGTGAGCGGTGGCGCGGTCGGTCTCCGTGGCACAGATGCCTGGCCGAACAGCTGGTTCAGAATGCTTTCATTCTCGCTGCATTAGTGCAGAACACTGCATGGGCCTCTTCGATCGGTACGCTGCAGCGAATGTACACTTGAATCCATGGAATCTGAAAACGTCTTAAGTTGTATACCCTCCAACAAATTGCGACGAAACGAAACGAACGAAACGAAACATTCGGGTCGTGTCATGTGCTCACAACGAGGGCGTACATATGTTCAAGGTCTTGTAAAGACTATGCTTGAGAGGGAGGCGGTGTAATAGCTAGGTCTTTTTTAATTTCCGGGATTTTTTCGTGACATGAGCGCGTAGTGTAGTGTGCTGCGGAACTTCGGTTCTGAGGCGGCTCCTTCGTTTCCAGGAATGTGGAAGGCACTTCATTAAACTTTTCCTCTGCGATGCATTCCACATTTTGCATAGACACGAGCGGTTCAGACACCAGCGGTGACACATGAACGGTTCATACAGCCACGGTGACACATGAGCGCTTCAGACAGCCAGTGACACATGAGCGCTTCAGACAGCCACGGTGACACATAAGCAGCTCAGACAGCCAGTGGCACATGAGGGGTTCAGACAGCCACGGCGATACATGAGCGGTTCAGACAGCCAGTAACACATGAGAGGTTCAGACACCCACGGTGACACATGAACGGTACAGACAGCCAGTGGCACATGAGCGGTTCAGACACCCACGGTGACACATCAACGGTTCTTACAGACACGGTGATACATGAGCAGCGCAGACAGCCACGGTGACACATGAGTGGTTCAGACAGCCACAGCGACACATAGGCGCTTCAGACAGCCACGGTGACACATAAGTGGTTCAGACAGCCACAGCGACACATGGGCGCTTCAGACAGCCACAGCGACACATGGGCGCTTCAGACAGCCACGGTGACACATGAGTGGTTCAGACAGCCAGTGACACATGGGCGCTTCAGACAGCCACGGTGACACATGGGCGGTTCAGACAGCAATGGCGATACATGAGCGGTTCAGACAGCCACCGTGACAGGTCAAGTGGCTTGGGGTATGGGTCCCACCACACCCTTCCCGCGGGCAGCAGTATGGGTTGGCCGGCTGAGGATTTGGGAAGAGCAGATAGCGACACAGGCGATTTTTTGCTTGTCTGCAAGAAATTCCCTTGGTGTGACTTAAGTTGACTGCCAACAACAGGGCAGCCGGCAGTCGTCCCTGCCCTCGCCACTCCACTGGAAAGCCGCCTCCCCCTCCACTTTCTGCTGTGCTCAATCTCCGTCCGTCTGTCTGTCACCAGGAGCAGATCGCTGCGGGAGAGAGGAACCTCATGGCCATCCTGCACGGGACCTTCCCCGCGCTCAACCGGCAGTTCGCGGCGGAGTGGCAGAGGGGCCACGGGGCCGCCGGTTGGTACTCAGGGCGCGTCGAGGCGTTGTGGACGCGTCGGGGGGAGTGGCTTTGTTTTAGCATGTGCCTTGTTTAGCATGGATTTGTGTGGGAAACTGTCCCACCGATAGAGGACAGGGTCAAAACACGGTTTTTGAGCGCGTCTGCTCATGTTATATTGAGATAGTGCTGTACATACTATTATTTAGCGTTGAACTTGATTTGTCTGTGCATGAGATTGGCACTTGTTTGGACAACGGGTTCACGTCAGCCATGCGTTTTGTGACATGCGTTGACATGCAAGGAATGTTAAAAGCTCGGCATTGGATCGGGAGTGATCTTTCTCTGTGAACGTGCGGTACTGAGGACCTACAGTCATGCCGTAAGCTCGCAATGTGGGAGATCCTACCATGTCCTGTTCCGGCAGCATTTGTTCTTGCACAGATTGGAACCCAATGTTTATGTACCAATCTGATGTATGTGGTCTTCTGCAGACACTCCCTGCCCGGGCATGGGACGAAACTGCGGGTTTCATCCAATGGCCTCGGGTTTGGCTTCGACTTTAAGTGATTGCCACTGGTTTGCTTTAGTTCGGGCATCGTCTTTGGGTTGTTTTTAATAGCTTGCCGTGGTTTCGGCTTCGGCTTCGGCTTCTAGCAATTTTCAAATTATGGCTACGGTTTCAGCTTCGTGTGACATCGAACTACAGGCTTCGGTTTGATACAGGCAAGAAAAACCTCAGCTCTTCGTTTTTCGGCGTTGCGAGTTCAGAGTGCCGGTTCTTAGTTATGGGCCTTCAATGCACCAGGAAGTACTGGTCAAACGGCGTTATAAAGCAAATATTGTTGCATGCAGATTGAAGTTAGTCGGTATTTCAAACTGTGCTTATGATCACAAGTTTACATGGTTGAGCGAGGTTCAGTAAAAAAAAAATACACTGGAAAACCAAGAACATTAATCTAGAAACTTGTTCTGGATCTGCGGGATCCAGATCCAGATCCTCAGATCCAGATCTACAAGATCCAGATCTTCTTTATCTTGATCTTTTGGCAGACCCTGGCACAAAGTATGTCAAAAGTGAGAGATAATTCGAGCCCCCATATCCTAACACCCGATGCATTGTGCTACGCTAATGACTGCACCAAATTCAGGCGGCTAATTCGGAAGTTCACGATGACTAATGACTAGATGACTAGAATTCCACAACTGCACCTAGTCCCTCTTGTTTCTGTGGCTATCCAAATGGAGACCCTGAACACTGTACTGAACTGTGCTCGCTGTCATGAAATCCGAATTGCAATGCTATGTACAACAGATCGTAACATTCCAAACCTTTCTGAGCTCACTGACAACAAGCAACAAGTATCTGTCTCAGAGGTAGCGGTTTACAGGATCGCAATAGGCAGCAGATAGCAAACAATTTCCAAACATTTGTTCTTCAGACCATACGATTCGCCTCAAAAACTTCTAGCGGGCGCGGGCAGCAGACGGGCAGCAGCTGGATGGCGTTGCCGGGCCGGACGTCCGCCACCGGCCCGAGACGGCTATATGTGTGGACAGGAACGGCGGCGGGCGCCTGGCCCGCGGCGGCTTACAGATCGGGCGGGTGGGCGGTGGGTCGTGGGTTCCCTGGCGGCGATGACCATATCTTGTTGTTAGGAGGGGCGCTCAGATTTAAGCGTTCCGCTTATGCGCCAATCCACTCATCATTATATGCTGCTCTATATCCATATATCCAATATCCATAATCGAAAATAAACATCAAGTCAAATAAAAAATGACCCGTACCGAGCATCACGTTATCATGATTATTAGGTATCGCGGACATTAGAGTCTCGCGTGGTGTTTGTTCGACCTCAGATAGCTGATCACTTTTGAGCTATTTTATGGCGGTGTCTGCTCTGATTCTGAGAATTTGATCTGTTTAGTAATAATTTGTTATTGCAAAAGTCAGTTGTGTTATATTGGGGGATTCACGTGTCTTCATTTTTAAGTGTAGTTATTTCTTTACCCCTGCTCAACGTTTGTTTCACTCATAATCACAAGCAGAGCTTGACACGCCGCATATTGGCAATGTAACCAATGTTGGCTCCGGCTTGGTCGTGGTTATTTTGTGTCATGTGGCAATTGCGGCTCAATTGACAAAACATGGAGGCGGGGCAGGGGCGGGGACGGTGGTGGGGCCCCCTTAGATCACCAGAGCATTCCGGTACCGGCGATCAAGGGCTTCATTGGAGGGCCCAGAGAGCCCGAAAGGCTGACTGGAGGTCGTATTAAGGGACCCCGGCCCGCAGTGCCGGGCCTCTAGACGTCAGTCAGAGGCCTCCTTGTGCTGATCGGGGGCCCCTGGAACAATGCGGGCCTCTGCGTCGGTGGCAGACCAACATAATGGAAAAGTCGGCTCTATGTCTGCCTGGGGGCTGGTGTTCTTTAATCTCTTAGTGAGGATAAGGCCAGGCCCGCAAGTGTCACTCAGAAAAAAACTGTTTGCATAGTCCCCTCTGTCTGCCAGTGGTCCCACAATGTCTGAAAGGGGACCTCGAACGTCCGGGGTTTCTTGTGTTGGTTGGGTTCGGGTTCGGTTTGGTCGGTCGGCGTAGGTTTCGCAAAGCTACTCAGTACATTAGACTTGGCTCCGGTTTCAGCCTCGGGATTTTAAACTGATTGGTTTTGGCTATGGCTTCGCGTTTCTTAAGTCCGAAGGCGCTGATTTTAGCTTCGACCTTGGCTCCTGTCACCGTCTTGGCTTTGGATTCGCCTTTGAAACCATGGGTCTGGCTTCGTCCCTACGCCTGCCCTGCACGAACTGTCGTGACGGTTGGTGCGGGCACCAGTAGTCTGCCTGGTTTGTGCTCTCTCTTTTGTGCTGACTGCAGCGGAATGTCCCATCACCACTGACACTGCCAGTGTTATCCGCTGAGGCAGTGCAGGCACCAGGACCACTGTGTGCCGTGTCAGCTGCGTAGTCTGATGTTTTAGCTGTTATCCGTAGGCTCTGTGCTGTCCTAGCATGACCTCTACTGTATATCTGACTGTTGTCTGATGCCTATAGTGTATTGCATTCATCCGTAGTGCCACCACTACCGTCTGTTGTACGCATCTTGTGTGTTGCGGCAGTGACGTCATCATCATCACTGCGTGCTCTCAGGTGTTCGTACTCTCGTGCACTGCTTCCACGTGCTCTCAGGTGCTCGTGCTCTCGTGCACCGCTCCCATGCGCTCTCAGGTGCTCGTGCTCTCGTGCACCGCTCCCACGCGCTGTCTGGTGGCCTGACGTACCTGGCTGACACAGACAGTGCTGGCACCACTGGCACTGTCTGCCTGATGTCTGCTGCATGTCTTTTGTAGACAGTCGTGGCAGCGTCGGTACCCCCATGTTACCTGATATCGGTATCAGACGGCACCTAAGACCGTGCAGCTTAATTGGACCTGTGCGATTCACTGATGACTCGGCAAATTTGAAAGCTTAAACCCACGTGAAGAGAGCATGTTTGCCAAAATGTAGTGATTTTTACGAGGCATTGTTTTGGATTAGAATTGGAGGCAGAAGTCAAGGCATGCAAGTGATTTTGTGCACAATATTTGATGCAATGTGCCAGCCACCCTTCTTCAACCATCACCAGCTGTTGTGCTGTATGATGTCTACTGCAGACCATGCTGGCAACATTGCCAGCGTTTCCAAACAGTGTGTTGTCTGATATTTGATGTTACTGTAGGTGGTCCTAGCTCCATCGCCATTATTTGTTGTGTGCTGTCCGACGTTGGATGACTGACCCATGTCTGTCACAGACAGTTCCAGCACTTGAGTGCAGCAATGCAGCCTGATTCCCGTAGGGGGGCGGGGCTCAGTGACGGTCACGTTGTTGTCAACTTCCTGGCATATTTGTGCATTGGCTAGGCAGGAAAAGTGTGGGCATCAAAAGGGTCGCCCTTCCACCTGCCCCATCAGCACCTTTTTTTCCTGTTTGTTGTGTGACGTCTGATGTCTACTGCAGACAGTCCTGGCACCACAGCTACTGTCTGATGTGTGGTGTCTGGTGCAGTCCCCACACCACCACCACTCTATGATATCTGATGTCTGCTGCAGACAGTCTTGGTGCCACCATCAGTGTCTGATGTCTAATGCCTGTCTGCTGCAGACAGTCCCGGCACTACAGCTACTGTCTGCCTGTTGCGCGCGGGCGCCGAGCTGGTGATCGGCCACGTCGGTGACAGCAGAGCCATCCTGTGCCGAGATGGGGAAGCTCGGAAGCTCACTACAGACCACTCGGCGGCGCTGGTTGCGGAAAAGGTGTGCCACGAGACCGACGTATTTTTGCTTTCTTCACCGTGTGAAAACTGCCGTTGTGAAGTGAAATAATGAACAACAAATTTAAAAGCATCAGACTTGAATACCTCGATTTTAGACTTTTGCTAAAATTAGAACTTAGGATGCCAGAATAGAACTTGCGTGATTATTTTGGACTGATTGTTACTCCAGCATCCCGGCAACGCTGCACTGTTTTCATGAGGTACACAAATACGATAGCCGACGCAGCGCTGCCTGTCCCGGACACGCGTTATCATTTATCGGGGCACGCATGCGCGCAGGGTAAGGCGGTGACGCGACCCAGTTGCCCAATCAGCGTGATTGGCCATTGCTTGCTGTCGGCTGGAGGCGGCATTGCTAGAGCAGGAGTTGTGTTACTGCTCTGTTTTTGTTTTGTTTTTTACAAAATTAGGAGGTGGGGGCCCAAGTTTGGCCTTACCCTCCCACCCTCACCCCAAAATTTTTTCATAATAAATGTTGAGCATTTTTTGGATCTTTCGGACACACGTCATAGAAGGATCGTGGTTGCCTGCCTTCTGTACGCTTTGCGTGGTGAAGTGGGGTGTGAAGTACTGTAACCCAGGTGTTGTCTTATTCGGTTTTTGCGAGGCAGAGGGCAGTTGTTTCCGTAGTGTAGTGGTTATCACGTCCGCTTCACACGCGGAAGGTCCCCGGTTCGAACCCGGGCGGAAACACGTTTTTCTTTCACTGGATTTATTGTCTGTGCGCACGTAACACTGTCGTGTAATCACTCAGGTGTTCAGCGATGTATGGACCCATTAACACCGATCAGTGATCTAATGAAGTGTACACTCTTTCAAATACTGTGCCAGAAGCCACCTTGAGGACACGCGGGCAGCGAAAGGCGTTTTACACCTTCGCTCGGTGTGTATGAGTTGGCTTACACCTTCTCGTTTCGCCCCGCGCGAAACACCAAGTTTCCCGTTGCAGCCACTTTTCCCACTTCTGCGAGCTTCTTGACTGAGATAGGAATGCAGCGCACCTGGGCAACTGTGGCCGCCAGTGGCAGTCTATCTGGGCCACGCCGTCTACGTGCAACTGTCCATGGCTATTTCGGTGGTTTAGACGGTGTGTGTATCCTGGTCTGATCAGCCTGTGACTGTGACTGTAACTGTCTGACTGGCTGCGATCAGCCGTCACAACATTTGTGGAAACGGCCAATGCCAATGTCGGTGCATTGTTATTAGTGAACTTTGGCGACAAATCCTCCCAGCGACGTCGCAGTTTGAGGCGAGCAGCTGCAGTGTCTCACTTTTTAATGCTCATACTGTCTGGTTGAGGGCGGTCTGGCTGTTTGACAGCTGCCGGTGGCTTAGCGAGCTTACATCTGCCAGTGAACTAGGCGTCATGGTAGTCTGGATGACACGGTGGGTGGAGCAGTGGCGGCTCGGTGGTGGTGACTGACGGTTGTCTGGTTGACAGCGGCGGATGGAGCAGTCTGGCGACTCGGTGGTGGTGGATGTGTTGGGGCGTCACATGATGACGGTTGTCTGGTTGACATTGGTGGGTGGAGCAGTCTGGCGACTCGGTGGTGGTGGACGAGTTGGGGCGTCACATGATGACGGTTGTCTGGTTGACAGCGGCGGTTGGAGCAGTCTGGCGACTCGGTGGTGGTGGACGAGTTGGGGCGTCACGATGACGGTTGTCTGGTTGACAGCGGCGGGTGGAGCAGTCTGGGGGCTTGGTGGTGGCGGACGAGCTGGGGCGTCACATGATGACGGTTGTCTGGTTGACAGCGGCGGTTGGAGCAGTCTGGCGGCTCGGTGGTGGTGGACGAGCTGGGGCGTCACATGATGACGGTTGCGTGGTTGACAGCGGCGGGTGGAGCAGTCTGGCGACTCGGTGGTGGTGGACGAGCTGGGGCGTCACATGATGACGGTTGTCTGGTTGACAGCGGGGGGTGGAGCAGTCTGGCGGCTCGGTGGTGGTGGACGAGCTGGGGCGTCACATGATGACGGTTGTCTGGTTGACAGCGGCGGTTGGAGCAGTCTGGCGGCTCGGTGGTGGTGGACGAGCTGGGGCGTCACATATGACGGTTGCCTGGTTGACAGCGGCGTGTGGAGCAGTCTGGCGCTCGGTGGTGGTGGACGAGCTGGGGCGTCACATGTGAACGGCCGGTTGGCCATGACCCGCAGCATCGGTGACCTCCACCTGAAGCGGGCCGGCTCACCGCCTTCCCCGACACGCGCTCACTCGAGGTCAGTGGTCCAAGGTCACGGGAGGTCAGTCACTGATGGCGAAAGTCAGATAGGGTCAATGGAGGTCAGGCGCGGGCGCTGGACGGCGGCGGAGCCTACCGCAGGCTAGAGAATCACTGATGGATAGCGAAGGCTTACTGACCATTTGGAGGGTCACT